GGAGAACATACCAGAATATGTCATTTAGTATTGCTCTTATGTTCACATGTTTTAGAAGGACAACTTGAAATTGGATAATCTTTCAAGGGCTTCTGGCTCTCTTGGCAGCCATTAATTTCCTATAATTCTTCTAATGGTGGGCCTTGTGAGATTTGGGATTTTCCTGAGTGTAAAGTGCATGGATTGTCTTGTAAATATAATCACCTAACTATGGATACTGAGCAGTAAGTTGTTCTCTGAATTGTGAACAATTATGGTTTCTGTGATGTTCTCTATTTGATGTAAAAATTGTAGCACTTCATATCTTAGGGATAACCAACAGCTACCTAATTTAATTTAAGGCTTATTCAATTGGAGGGAATTCCTGCCCATCACTGTTAACCTACCAGCTTCCTGTGGCTGATGAAGCCATAGACCCTAGAGGAGAAACTACTGCTTCCATGTTCCTAATCAGTGTAATTCCCAATGGCATTATAAATAGAATATTAGCTCTTGCCTTTCATATAAAATTGTTCTAAAAGAGGATAGGTCTAGACTAACTCTTGAAGAATTTTTTTGTCTAGTTTAAATCAATAACTTTTTAAATACATGGCCTCCCTCATGGCCTGTTTCTATGAATACTGATCTTCCCTCGCCTACCCCACCAGTAGGCTCAGCTACTTCACACCCTGTAGGCATCACATCTAGTTTGTCAGCTCAGTTCTCTGAGCTACTCTGAAGGGATAGTTCTACTTCACCTCACAGGTCTCCTGGCCTCTTTGGGGTTTCATTCCAAGTGCCCGCAGACATACAGCCTTCTGCTGGAACTCTTTAGTGTAGCAGGCTCCTTCCCATCTTATGTGGGATTCTCCAGGATCTCCCTTCTCAGAAGTTCCAGGTATGCAATGCTACTCCTAACCATAAAGTTCTCACTACACACCAGTTTCAAAAGATCTTCCTCTAGTTAGAGGTTGACAAGAAGCCATTCAAGATAAGGAAGTCAGAGTTGGAAGGACATTCCAGAAACCAGTACAAAAGAGCAGCATTGAGGCATGTTTTAGCTCTGAATGTTTGTTTAAAGTAAGTAGCAAACTCTCCAAAGAACCCTATGGAATGTTAGATTCAATCATTCTTTTTCTTGAGCAATTATGTAGTATTATTTTATTTGTGCTTGAGCAATTTCTGCTTCCCAGCATTTGTCAAATGTGGTATTGCAGTAGAATGACTAGAGCTTTGGGGTTTTTTTTAAGGTATTGTTCACACTTTCCATGTTCACAGTATGGATAAAAATTGGATCAAAATGTGGCCACTAGAGAAGCAATAACAATAAAATATACAGCACACATAAATACACATAGATATTCAAGAAGCATTTATAGCCAAATAAAACACCATGCAGTGCATTCCATTGAGATTCTTCTCAATATCAAACTGATTATTTCAGCCTCAAGGGCATATGAAAAAAATAATGAATGTTCTATTCTGGTTCACTAGACACATTTGATGCTAGCAAATTTGTGAAATCTAAAGTTAAAAAAAAAAAAACAAAAAACAAAAACAAATACAGTCTCACTCCTACCAGGGAAGCAGGTAGGCTTACTGGAGATCCTCACGTCTCCCTCTTTCCCTCAGATTCAATGCCCCTCACCCTCACTCCCAGTTCTGCAGCAGAGCTCCAGAGGCAGCCTCTCCCCACACCATCTCTACAAGGCCCAACTGATCATTGCTCTCCCCAAACCTGTCCCTCCACTTACTGCTTTATTCCAACCCCCAATTCAAATAGTCAGCCCTGGCTAATGCACAGGTCACTTGGGCCACCTCTCTCATGGTTCTTCCAGACCAAATCCCCCAAACTGACCCACAGCTGTATAATTACTCTTCTGCTACAGCCTCCCCACCATCCTCTTCTCCATCTCCTGTGGATCCCACAGATCTCCAAACCTCTGTCACCCAACTCATTGCTTCAACCCAGCCCCAAGCCCCAAGCCCTAGTAGGTGCTCCCTTCTGAGTCTCAGGCCACTCCTGTCAGAGAAGCAGGTAGGCTGACTGCATATGTCCTCTCATTTTGTTTCTACTGATCCTTTCCCAAGTGTCATCCCTAACTCTCCAATGGAACACCCATTGCAGCCTTGCTTACCCACCCACACCTCTTGTCCATCCCACAGTGTTATTTGTTTATTCATTTACTTACTTTGTACATGCATTATATAGTGGTATAATTGGAGTAGAATTCATAAGGCACCTCTCAGGAGTTGGTGCTTTCATTGCACCAAGTAGGCCCCAGAGAATCAAACTCAGGTCATCAGGTGTCTACTCTATTGTGCTTGAGTTAAGGTATTAACTTTGGGTTTTTGTTTGTTTATTTTGTCATATTAACATAATATTTTATTGATAATTTTGTAATTTTACATAATGTACCATGATCACCCTTACTTTCCAGTCCCCCACGTCTTCTCCCAAACCTTTGTGCTCCCCCCTAAAAAAGATGTAAAAATGTCCAATTAGTATTGTTCATATAGTCATTGGAGCATGATCACACCAGAGGTGGTCATCCCTGGTGAGTCCTTCTCCATCCCCACACCTGATAGTAGCCATCAACTGGGGAGAGCCATAATTTGTTGTGGAATATTTTAAGATGTGTTACATTTGCTTATGCTGTGGAACATTTATTGTAAAGATGCAAAGATGTGTTGCTTTCTTTTATGTTGCATTTGTTAACTCTGTGAAGCTGTGTTATGATGGGGAATGTTCTTCTTTATATATGTTTATCTTATTGGTTGAATAAAGCACTGTTGGATAATAGGGAAGCAAGACAGGTGGGACTAGGAGTCATGGAGGATTATGGGGACTCTAATAAAGAGAAGTCCCCATGTGATCCAGGCAGGAAGTGACAGAGCATGGCAGAATCAGTATATAAGCAGGAACAAGCAGAGATGCAGAACAGATGCAATGTAGACCCCAATGGAGTAAGAAGCCTAAACCTTTTCTTCCTTAAGATAAGGCCGCTTGGAAATATATGGATTATTAGAAATTGGGTAAATAATTAAGACTGAGCTAGCAAATAAGTAACCTTAGCCAAAAGGCCAACAGCTTTATAGTAATAAAGTATCCTTGTGTTTAATTGGGGCAGAGAAGGGGGGAACCTAGCTGGTCAAGAGAAACATTCATGTTACAGTGTTACTCTGCCTGTCTAAAATACCTGATTGGGCAAATAAAGAGGTGAATTCCCAATAGCAAGGCAGGAGAAAGGATAGGCAGGGCAGGCAGGCAGAGAGAATAAATAGAAGGAGAAATCTGGGAAAGAAGGAGTGAGAAAAGCAGAGGATTCCAGGGGCCAGGTACACAGCATGCCACTGAGTAAGAACTAAAGAAAGGTATATGGGATAAAGATAAAAGCCCAGAGGCAAAAGATAGATGGGATAATTTAAATTAAGAAAAGGTGGCTAGAAATAACCCAAGTTAAGTCCAGGCATTTATAATTAAGAAATTTTGGGGAGCTGGTGGTGGGCTCCCCAAATAGTGTTAAGAGTAAAAAACAAACAGCAATTCAGTATCTTTACACAATTTCAAGAGCTCTCTTTGTGGCTTCCTATCTGGGTTGTTACATTTTTAGAGACTAGAGACAAGGGGTTGTTGCAAAAGCCTTCTATGTCTTTCTTTCTCAACTGTGAGTCTGAAGTAAACAGATACCACTGCAGAAGCTTCCCTGTCCTTTTTAGTCAACAGGAGCTCAGATCATAGACTTGTGCATGTAAGCTGGCAATAGCTTGGACCACTGACATCCTCCAGGCCTCCAGCATCATTAAGTGCCACAGAACTCAGCATGGTCTTCTGTAGCAGTATGGGTCATGGATGCCAACACAGTCCTAAGCAGCATCCCAGCACATGGACATCAACATGGCTTCAGGTGGCAGCACAGTCTGATGTCCCCTGGAGACATCAAGGCTGGTAGACAACAACATGGCTTAGCCAACAGCACAAACCATGGATAACTGTGTGATAAATAATGCCATGGACATTGCAGCAAACCATAGACTCAGATATAGTGACAACAGGGACCACAGACATAGCCTCAGGCAGCAGTATAGGCCATGCACATCAACAAGGTCTCTGGTGGTACTCAGGCCTCTGGCATGGACATGGTTCAGTGTTTCCCCATTGCATATGCTCTGCTCAATTCCTATATCCTTCTCCCCACTCCATTGTAAATTCATTTGTCACTGTGGCACTGGAAACTACACAGCTCTATGTGCAACTATTCATTACCAGGAGTCATTAGTCCAGCTCAAGGCCTCTTGTTTCTGAAACACCATGAATACCAGACAACCACAGAAACTTCTTTGATTGCAATCATGCTTTAGGTTTTCATCTTCAGTGGTGATGATGTGCTCCCAGGTCTAGATCTGCAGTACCTTCTCCCCCTCAGGGACCAGCAGCTTGTGGATGGAGTAGGTGTTAGGGTTGACTGGAAGTGCTAGATAGATGCCAGGATGGATGCCAAGTATGTCAGGCCACCCCTTTTGGGGGAAAAGATGATTTCTTTTATTTTTTTAATTCTTTAATTACTACTCATATTTTCATATCCATCTCCCCATTCCTTTGCCCTCCCATCCTCCCATGTTCCCCACCTACCCCACCAACCAACCCCCCAACTCTTCCCCAGGGATAGTGAGGCCCTCTACAGAGGACCTACAAAGTCCATCACATCATTTGGGGAGGGCCTAGGCCCTCCTTGCTGTCCCTGGGCTACAATAGTATACCTCCATAGGGAATGGACTCCCAAAGTCCATTTGTGGTCTAGGGATAAAGACTGGCTCCACTGTTAGAGGTCCCAAAGCCTGTCTGGGCCTCCTACCTGGCACCCACATTCAGAGGGCTTGGTTTGGTCCAATGCTGTTTCCCCTAATAGGAGAAAATATCACACATTTGGATATGTTTAACAAGAATTATTTACTTCATAATTTAATATATACATATATATTATTCATAAAAGGTTTCCAACACACATCCATATCATCAGCAAAAATATTTAATATCATTGTATGAAAACAAACTTTATTGATATATATTTGAATAATTAATAATAGCAACAGCAAATAGAGAGTGTTTTCTTCATGGCAGCTTTTTTTCTTTGTTTGAAGCAGAAAAAGGTGCTTTATTCAATATGGTAGCTTTTGAGAAGATAGGTTTTACTAATGATGGTTTTCCATCTTGTTTCAATTTATGAATGAAGCAAGAGCTATGTGAGGAAGTAAAATTGTGAGAAATTTTCATCTGAAACTCTTAATTAAAACAAATATATACAAACAATTCAGCTTTAAGATATTTGGTTGAAGAATACCTAAAGATGCTCAGAATAAAATAGGTAGTTTCTGTTTGTTCATCATTAATTAAGGGACCTTAATGTTACTTGTGTATTAATTGTGAACAATTTTTTGTCTCCTAGGAAATATGAGTGATTATTCTCAATAAAAACAATTTCAAATATTTGTGACCTTCAAGGCATTAGTGGGTTTGTATAAAGTAAAGCAAGATTAATCTATCAAAATTTATTAAGCTGACTAAAATGGTTAGCTTTGTGTGAATTTGATATAACCTATAATCATATAGAGAGATTCAAATAAGAAAGTAAGTCCATCATGATAGCCATTATGAAAGACATTTTTTATTAATAATTGATATTGTACAATCCAGCCCACTGTAAGTAGTTCCTCCCCTGGAATGGAGGTCCTGGAGTGTTTAAGAAGGCTAAGTAGGGCAGGATAAGTAGGGCATTGGTGGCACAAGCATTTAATCCCAGTACTTGGGAGGCAGAGGCAGGCACATCTCTGAGTTCAAGGCCAGCCTGGTCTGCAGAGTGAGTTTCCAGTACAGCCAGGGTCACACAAAAAACCCAGTCTCAAACAACAACAACAAAACAAAAGGCATGCTAGAGGATCAAGCCAAGTAGAAGCACTCTTCGGGTTTCTCCTTCAGTTCCTGCCTTCAGGAACCTGCTTGAATACTTCTGACTTCACTTCATGACGGACTATAAACTGTAAATTGAAATAATCTCTTTCCTATCAACTTAATTTGGTCT